TCTACGCCGTTATCCTGTTTCCGATACTTTCGACTTTATCTTAATGTTTTGACTCTTTCCTTAACTGTTTCTCAAAACCTTTTTCTTTGATTTTACCGCATAACGTTGGCAACCATTTGAGATGAGTAGTAATTTGTCATACTTGATATAAAAGCTGCTTCAACTGCAAAGTTCAACATCCAATGATTAGAATGAGACTTATAGTCATCTTCACCTATAGCAGTCTACTATATTTTCCGTTTTTTTCACAAGTGAGATCTTTTCTCTTTGGTGGCTGTGCATATTTTATGTTAATCTGAAGTCAATTCAATGGCGCTGAGGTGTGCAGAATCGGAGCACCTGTGCGGTTTCGTTTTGAAGAATAGTTTGAAAAGCCATGGAATTGGTACTCAGGTACATAGTTGGTGATGATGCAGTTGACGCTTCCCTCTTTCCTGCTAGTGAAGAGAGATTAAGTGCAGGCAAAAAGTTTAAAAAACTGATCTCCTGATCGGTCGACACAAACAGTGGTTGAACAGGTGAAATTTTTTTGGTCAAACGTTAGGATGTGTAAACATATTCTGAATAGGTTCGCATGCGTCCCGGTTTCTTCCTTTTAATCGCACTTTCCTCCTATCGTACTTCCTCACCTCTCTCTTCATTGAGAAATTAGCTGCAGCGGAGAGTTGACTTAAGTTAATGGTAAAAAAANTCCTTTATTTATTTATTTATTTATTTATTTATTTATTTATTTATTTATTTATCTTTGCACTCATTGGTGCGCTAAACCAACTTTAAAATCACATTGAAGGCTAGAGAGCAGTGAAGGAGGAGTAGCCAATCTTACTTCTGCTCAGAGTGGTTTTTAGCCAAAAGAATGTTGTTTTTACCTAATATTCAGAAGGGGAGGAGCTCCGGAGTGGGTGAAATGATTACCTCGTGCAAAAAGCAGAGATGGGATGAGAATTAAACATCCAATTGGCTCCCGCATCCCGAAGCTCCTACCCTCCTCAGGCCTAGGTAAAAAAAACATATTTGCAACATAAAAAAGCTATGAAACGTTTCTAAGCACCCTTTAGGCTCGCGAAATCGGCTACTCTTCCTTCTAGCCGTCAAACATTCAAAAGATCGTGGCCCCCTCCTCCAATTACATCCTGTGCTAGAAGGTTCTTTTAGGGCTCCATAGAAGCATTAAAGCCGAAAAAAGGGTATATCACTGCAACTAGTGGTATGTCGTCACCACCGACTGAGAGAAGTTCTCACTCGATTATCCCTTGACTGCATTGGGAGCTTTGGGAGGAGAGGGAGAAGTGAGCGTGGGTCGGGATTGGGAAGGGGGGACTCAAGGTTCGATTGTGCAAAGGACACGAGAAACTGTTCTTTTTACTGATATATTTAATTGTGTGGAATGCAATGTTGCGTGATCGTAGATCTACTATCGAAGGTTTTGTAGGGATCGGTTGGGAGTAGGGCGAGTAAGCGGAATCGCGGATAGCCAGGGATGAGGGGCATGCTCATGGATTCATGGATTGGTTGGCTCCGCTTTCTCTAAGGCAATTTTGCAATCTACCCTATAGAAACCACCCATATTACCAATAATTCCACAGTTTCTCTGATCAACAGATATGTGAGCGTTTGTAGAAGGCTATGATTCCATTATAATTGTACAAGTTGCAAATATTACCTTGACTCAAACCGTAGCCTCAATATCATTTTCACTGTCTGTTTGTCAGAAGCGGTATATTGGACTGATATAGAATCCGATGAGAACCATTATCTTCACACTTCATACAACTACCCTTCATGCAATTAACTCAGTCAGGAAGGGTGTCGGCTTTGTTGCTTGATGGGACAAGGAGGTCTTGCAAAGCTGAGTAGCGCGTCCTAACGGCCTACCGGTGGGTGGCCGTGTACCGCGCGCGGCGATTTTGTGCGACAACCAGTGTGAGCTATCGCAGACTGCTCTCCAGACTGTAGTTTTCGACACAAAGAGGTTTAATTCCGATCGGATCTGGTTCAAGGAAGACGTGCTGTTGGAAACAGTCCTCAGAATTT